AGATACACTATATCCACAGCATTGCCAGAGTCAACCATTTTAGTAACTCTGTCAAAAAAGGAGATAAGGTTGGTCTGGCATGACTTATTCTTGATAAACCCATGTTGGCTACGACCAATTAACTCATTCCGTTCCAGAAAGAATGTTTAATAATCTGCTCTAGAATTTTCCCAGGTATTGATGTCAAACTGACAGGCCTGTAATTTCCTAGGTCCATCTTTTTTCCCCCTTCTTGAAGATCGAGACAATATTCGCTCTTCTCCAGTCTTCCAGCGCAACACCAGTACTCCAGGACATCTCAAAGATTAGAGCCAGAGGCTCTGAAATAACATCTGCAATTTCTTTTAGCACCCTGGGATGCAAGCCATCCGGCCCAGGAGATCTGAAAGTATTTAAGGCAGCTAGATGCTCTCTAACCGTTTCCTTACTTACTCTGGACTGGCAGTTCCTCCTTCCTTCATATGCCCTGCATTCTTCAGTTTGCATCCTGCAGGGCACAGGTGCTATCAGAGAATGACTGAGATGGGTAGCCTGTGTTAGTCGGTTTGTAGCAGGAGAAAAGAGCGAGAGCTCAGTAGCACCTTAAAGTAACAAAAATTGTGGCACGGGAGGAGCTTGTGTGTGTCACTGCTCACCTCTTCAGATACAGCTAGAGTGTGAGTCCATCTGTTATATATATTGCAAAGGGGAGAGATGTCAGATGCTGAATGACATTAGCAGGCAAATGACACTAGCAGGTGTGACTGGATTAGCTGTAGAAAAGAGCGAGCGTCCGGCAGCACCTTAAAGACTAACAAAATATGTGGCAGGGTAGGAGCTTTTGTGAGTCACGGCTCACTTCTTCAGATTTTGAGCAGTGACTCACCAAACCTCATACCCTGCCTCAGATTTTAGCAGAGGGTGCATTCCACAGGGTAGGGGCCATCACTGAGAAAGCCCTTCCCCTGGTAAAGCTAACCGAACCAACCTGGGGCCGGGCCCCTGCAAGAGACCCTAAGAGGAAGATGGAAGGAGGGAGGGGGTTTGTAATGCGAGAGGCGGTCCTGTAGGTATTAGAGTCCCAGAGAGGCTTACTGGGAGCAGCAGGGCCCTCCCTTCAAGGAGCTCGGGGCCGTATGTAGCCACCGATAGACCTCTCCTCCATGAATCTATCAAATCCCCTTTTAAAGCTCTCGTTTCTGGGCAAAACTCTATGGTAAAAATCAGCATCAAATCATAGAGTTTTGCCCCAAAGGCAGAGCATCGGCATGCAATGTCCCTGATACATTGATGTCACTTTCTCCTCTATGAATCTATCAAATCCCTTTTTAAAGCTCTTGTTTCTGGGCAAAACTCTATGGTAAAAATCAGCATCAAATCATAGAGTTTTGCCCCAAAGTCAGAGCATCAGCATGCAATGTCCCTGATACAACGATGTCACTTCCTCCTCTATGACTATCAAATCCCCTTTTAAAGCTCTCGTTTCTGGGCAAAACTCTATGGTAAAATCGGCATCAGATCATAGAGTTTTGCCCCAAAGTCAGAGCATCGGCGCACAATGTCCCTGATGCAATGACATCACTTCCTCCTCTATGAATCTATCTAATCCCCTTTTAAAGCCGTCTATTCCTGTGGCCGTCACTGCATCCTCTGGCAGCGAAGTTGACATTTTAATCACTCTCTGTGTAAAGCAGTATTTCCTTTTGTCCATTCTGAACCTACTGCCCATCAGTTTCATCGGATGCCTCATCGAGTTCTAGCATTCTGGATGATGGAGAGAAATTTCTCTTGGTCAGCTCTCTCCACCCCGTGCAGAATTTGATCAACCTCTCTCGTGTCCCCCCTTAAGGAGGCATTTCACCTAGACTCTATGGTATACCATAGAGCAGGGGTCATTTCGTTGAAAAAGAGGTGCAGGAGCTCATTAGCACAACTCATTAGCATAACATTTGCATATGCCACACCGCCCCCTGGGCTCTTTACTGCCGGAGCACCGCTCCTGTACGCTCCTGCAGGAAATGACCCCTGCCATAGAGCATGCCCTCTGAAGCTGCCATTTCCTGTAGGGGAACTGATCTCAGGAGTCTGGAGATTCCAGGAGAACTCCAGGTCCCACCTGGAGATCCACCTGTTACTCAGTGGATCATTTTGCCATGCTGTTTGGCGGCATTTCCCTCTGAGCTTCTTTTAAGCGGCTCTATGGCCAGAGTTTGGCCCTCTCAAGCCAGAGTGACGCAAGAACGCGGGCGCAGCACGGCAGAAGCCGTCTGGACGTTGGCCGAGGCTGCGCTCGAGGGAATGACGCGCCGCTCCGAAAAAAGAGGAACAACAACTCGCTCGAGTCTAAAGACTGCCGGGTCGCTGGAAAAACATGAATAGAAGCTGCCGATTGAAGGAAGACTGTCCCGGATAAAAAGGGTGCTGGTAGGTCGTTCCCCCCCTTCACGACACTGTGGCCCAAGTTAGGATTACTGGCTACTACTTTTCCTCTGAGCTTCTTTTAAGCGGCTCTCTGGCCAGAGTTTGGCCCTCTCAAGCATCAAGAGAAACGGGGGCCCGTGACGAAAGGTACGGCTCTCTCTTTATCCGCAGCAATAAAACACGCAAAGGAAAGCTGGGCCGGACCTCTCTCTCCCCTACAGTCACCTTGGCCCTAATATTTAACTTCTTGTTATGAGTTTCATTTGCATTTATTGGTGCCGCACCGTTTTACATCGGCACAGTCCCTCCGGCTCCGTACTTTTAAGACCGTCCTTTAGGGAATCGTGGGGGGGGGTTTTCCCTCCCCCACCACCTCCTTCTCGCAGCTTCCCTCCTGTCGATGGAAGTGGAGTCGGTGACTCAGATGCCAGGAGGGCAAAGTCAAAAAAGAAACTGCAGATACCCTTGGCTTGCCTTAGAAGAGGCAGCCAGTGCAAGCCACAAAGGCTGAC